CGTATATTAGTATAGGTATAATATAGCGACGCCTCCACACTTATAGTATATTATATATATAAGTGCACTAGGAAGGTATACATGACGGTTAGGTATTCTATAAATAGGCTAGGAACATAGTTACTTTATAGGTAATATATCACATTATATACTAGAGATAGAATATCCCTCACTCAGTCAGCTCTCCAGGCCACCCTCCTCACACTGTACTTCCTCATTACTATACTAGTCATACTTATTACATAATAAAGGTATGTACATTTATATGTAATGTATATAATATATATACATATTCTATGCTAATATTATTTACATTCACGCACATACAACAACACGCACAACACACGACACACCACCAACACAACACACACAACACCAACTACACACACTTTATTATATACTATATCAATAATATATATATTATATATATATATATATAATATAATTATATATATATAATATAATATATTACCATATATATTCTATATTATGTATTATAATATATATATATATATATATATATATATATATATATAGTATATATATTATATATGTGTGTGTGTGTGTGATGTGAGTTGTGTGTGTGTGTGTTGTGTGATATAATAATATATATATATAATATATACATTATATAGTATATATTATATATATATATGTTAATTATTATAATTATAATACATAATATATATATACTTACATATGTGATGCTGTGCTGATGAATGTATTTAAATTATGCACAGATTAATTGAATTATAGTAATACTTATATATATACATATTATATGTACAGTTCTTAATAATATATATATATATATTATACAGTAAATATATTATAATATATATATATTAGTATATAGTATCATATAAATAATATATATTGGTATATATATATATATATAATATATATTAATATATTATGCATATATGTATAGTATACTTAATATACTTATCTTATCTAGTATCTTAAATCTAATCTTTCCAGGGTTGTGGATGTTATCTATATATAATACATATATATATACTATATATTAGATAGATAGATAGATTAGATTAGTATATTATAGGATTATACTAACTATATTATAATAGTGTACAAACATACACTCACAACACAAACAAACACTAACACATTACTATTATAAATAAATCATATAATATATATAATATATATATATTATATCATATATATATATATATATTATATTATAATATATATATTATATAATATATTATACATATTAATATTTTTTAGATTTTTAAAAAAGGGAATTAATGAATAAAGGGAGGGGGATAAATAAGGGATAAAAAAATTAGGAATAGTAGATAGACTTAGAAAGCATATAATTAATATATATAAAATACCACTCACCAATAATATATACTATTATATAAATATATATATAATGTTATAATAATAATATATATACTATATGTATTAGTATATATAATGTAGTTGTGATGTGTATGTGTGTTGAGTGTAGTGCATAATAATAAAAATCTAATTAGTATGAGTGTGATGTTGTGTAGTGTAAATATATGTGTGAGTGTGTGCATATATAATAACATGCACACCACATAACACACACCACACCAAACAACACACCACACACACATCACACACACAAATTAATTATTATATATATAATTATATATATATATATTAATATAATAGTCTTATATACTAATATGTAACACCTAATAATACTAATCTACATAGTACTACTATATGTATATTATATTATTATGTGGCAGAGAGTAGTAGAGATGGTAATATGTGTGTCGTGAGTGTGCGCGAATGTGAATTTTGTGTTATAGATTTTAAAATGATACAAATATTGTATGTGGATCAGTTTCCCATGCAATGTATTTTGTACGGCATATCATTATCGACAAAAATATTACACAATGGCACAATACGAAATAGAGGATGTTAGAAAAGATAGAAAGAAGAAGAAAAAGAAGAAAAATGCGAAGAAAATGCGATGAGAAAATTTTCAAACGTTTGGAAATAGATCATGCACTTTAATTGAGTAGATGAGCGAAACATAGAGAGCACTATCGAATCAGCAATTCATGACGAAGAAAATATATGTTTCTCTCTCCTTCTCATCTCTTACTCTCCTCTCTTCTCTCTCTCTCTTCATCGCTCTCATATCTCTCCTCTCTCTCCTCCTCCTCTCGTCTACTCTCTCTCTCATCTATATCTTCTACCATCGTCCTCGACTCTCATACTCTCCTCGCCGTCTCTCAACTACTGGCTCCTACGCCAGTTGGAGAATGTAGGGTGGGTCAATTACAATGGAAAGACACAAGGACAGGAAACGCATGCGTTCCTTATGACTTATGTCTCCTGTCTTGTGTACTTGTGTGGTAGTGCGAAATATGTTTGATTTTGTCGCTCGAGTAGTGAGATTTCTAAGTTCCTATGCTCGAGAGTAAATGATTTATGTGTTAGTATCAACTCCATGCTTCTGTGTCGTGAACTCAATCACAAAATGCGATAATGGATTTATGTTTCTCTGCTTAACTTGGGTATGGAGTTTCCGTGTATGTGTGCTTTATGTGGGCTTGTGTGGTGTTCGTGTTTTGTTCGAGGCAACAAGCATCAGCGCCAGGATATGTTGAGTCGCGAAAATTTAGTAGGTATATCGATCTAACACACTAGCGCGCATAAAAATGGCTAAGGAATAGGATAAATGTATATAGGGATAGATGTGAAGGAAGTATATAGATATATATGGAAGCGCTATATAGTGTGAAGGTCGGGTAGCGGATTCGGACATATGCTAGATGTCTAATATGTACATATATAATGAAGATATATCTAGATAAGTATATAGAATTATAAAAATATAATACATATATAATATATATATATATTATATAATTCACTAAAGTATACTATATTAGATATACTATATAGAGAGAGAGAGAGAGAGAGAGAGAGAGAGAAGAGGAGAGAGAGAGAGAGAGAGAGAGTGATGAGACGAGATGAGAGAGAGATATATTATATATATATATATATATA